TTAGTCATTTAGCAGACGCTTTTATCCAAAACGACTTACAAATGATGACAATAGAAGAAATATAAGTGTTGAAGGTTTCACAGAGGAGGTTTTGGACACCTCCTTTCACTTTTTATCATAAATCAGAAAATGCTGTAACAGCCAAAAAAAAATAAAATGTTAGGAACAAAATGTTATATAAATAAATGGGACTGACATATGAACAAACCTCTCTGTAAAAAATGGAAAGTCTGGTGTATGTAAGTGCTACTGAAGTGGGAATGTTCAGCTCAGTGCATGAGAAAAAATTAATTAGAAACAGCCTTTATAGAAACGTATTGTATTTGTTACTTTTCTTTCCACTAGTCATGTTATGGAGGTAAAATAACCCAAAATCTCCAAATTGACCAGTGCATGTAAAAAGCATAGTATTTCATTTGGCTTTAAAAAGAGGTTTTTCTTTAGGTGGTGCTGCCTAAGGAAATGCTCTCAAATTAAAATATTGTTTACATGTGATCTTACAGTTGTGTTGGAGGACAAAATGGTCAACCCTATTCACACTGAGGTTGATGACAGTGAAGACGACATTACCCACCAGTTCAGATTTGGTGTCAAGCTCTCTCCGGAGTTCCTCACGGCTCCGTTGTTGTTCCTGATGCTGTTGCCTCAGGTTTTGGTTGAGCGTTTCCCGCCGCTCTAGTTCTTCCAGGGCTGTGGTCCGCTCTCTCTGAAGCTGTGCAGTCTCTTCAGCTCTCAACTCCAGCTCTTGCTCCAAACGCTCCACTTCCTCTGTAAGGACAGCACTCTGTAAAAAGTGTTCAGATTATAAAAGCACAGAAGAAAATAAAATAAATATAGAAGATGAGATGATGTACCCATGTGAAAGCGCTGATGTGCTTGCTCTCTTTCCTGTGGACTGATTGGTTGTCCATCCAACATTTCCAGTGACCTCAGATGGAAGATTAGGAAGAGGTGATAATGAGGCAGGCTGGAGATGGGGTTTTCTGCTAATGACAGACTCGTCAGGTTCTTCAGGGGCTTCAGTTTAGTTATCTCATGAAGCTAGGTCACAAATGGAGAGAATGTTGCTAGTAACATAAATGTGTATAAACCAAAACGGATCAGTGATTTACTTTTAATGTGAAATATATGATATTAAAGGAACAGATCACCCAAAACTGAAAATTCTGTCATTACTATTACCCTTATTTCCAAATCTCACTTTTTTTATTTTTTATTTTTATTCTGCCGAACACAAAAGGAGATATTTTGAAGAAAGTTGGTAACCAAACAGATTTGGTGCCCTTTGACTTTCAGTGTACTGACAAAAACAGTGAGACAATATCTTTTATGTTCCACAGAAGAAAGAAAGTTATACAGGTTTGAAATGATATGAGGGTGAGAAAAACAATAACATTTTTAAACAAAAATTATTTTTATTTTTGGGTGAGCGATCCGTTTGAGGACTCTTTTGTTGATTGGCTGTTTTAAACACATGATTAACAAAAATTGTACCCACTGAGGATATCTTGTTTCTCTGTAGATTTATAGTATGAAGAGATCTGAGCTTCTTTGCTATCCAAACTGGAAGATGTTCAATGTTGTTGAAGGCCAAATTCAGAACCTGAAGATTTGTCATGTGCTCTAGACCTTCAATTTTTCTGCAGATAAATGAAATATGTCAAAACTTGTATTGGCCTTTAGGACACTGTATCTTTCATTCTGTGACAAGACTATGAAATATATATCGTGAGGAAATGTTTCTTGTTAAGCAGACAAATGTCACATTCTTACCGTATCCTGTTACTGGAAAGGTGGAGTTCCCGCAATTGACATAGTTTCTCTAGTTTCTCGATTCTCTCGATCCTGTTGTTACTGAGGTTGAGAACGTGTAAGCGCTCACACTTATCCAAATTTTCAATATACTAAAATTAAAAATGCACAGAAGTCAATAAATTACTGCAAAAATGAATGCAACTAATGTTACCTCTCACACTGAGCATTAACCAGATAATGTCCAAATCTTACTCTAAATTGTTTGTCACTTCCTGCCGACGTAGACAAATTCAGGGTCCCCACAAGGACTAAATTTTCACATTTAGTCAATCTCCTGATCAGGTCTTCTGTGATGTATCTTGTCCCCTTATCTTGC